TCAGTTATAAAAAGCTTATTCTATTTCCTGAGTGACAAATTATAGCCAAAAAAAAAAAAAAGTTAAAGCAATTGCTATATGTTCAGTTGAAGCCGCTATTTTGTTTTCCACAATACCTTTTATTCAGAAAAACAGAGCTTTTACTTTCATAATAATGATATTTATATTACACTGCTTATCACCAAGTGAGCTCTGACTATTTTACAATAGAACATCCAAGGCACAGAAGAGGCAAAAAGATTTATCAGAGAGCATATAGGTCAGTGAGAGCTTGAAGGATAGAATTCAGGTCTTCAGCCTGTGGCCCATTGTCCTAATTACCCCAGTACACCATCTCCTCAAGTTAATAACAGCTAATACCATGGATTTACAGACTAATTCTCACAGACACTTCTGTAAAATAAGCAGCTATCAACCCCATTTTCCAGAGAAGAAAACACAAAGTGCTAAATTCTTTAGCACTCTACATACCTTGTGCAATCCCATTACTACTGTATTGATACCCAACATAAATTCAGACAATGAGATACACAGCATTTTTAGCACACAATTCTGTATTTTGAACTACAGAAATCAAGAGACTTGTCTAAAGACAGAGAGCAAGTCTGTAGTATAATGGGATGGAAATGGATGAGTGCTTCATTCACACTCCTATGCTTAACTCACCTCTGTATCTGCAGAACCTCAATTCCTTAAAACTACATGGGACATTGGATCAAGACACAGCATCAAGCAAAACAGCATCAGAAAATTTTTCAATTTTTTATTCCCAGCTTTCTAACAAGGACCCTTATGAAAGCACTTCCAAAACCAACTTATGACAACCTATTTCTTTGCATTGGCATATTTAATTCTCTTTTCATGTTCAGATTACTCCAGAGTACAGCAGAGGAGATAACACTGACATTTATTATTACGGGTTTTGAATATTGCTCTAAGTTAGTTATTATTCTAATTTTCCAAAAGATCTTCAAGCAAAGGGGTAACAGCATTGACTCACAAAAGAATTACATACAGAAATCTATACAACCGTGAAAGAACTGTATTTCCACCTGAAAAATCATAATCACACCTACACTTTTTTCCGTGGAGGTGACAGAAAAGAGAGAAGTAAAGAGTGAGGAGAGGTCTGCAAAATATAAACCCTACAAACCTTGAGTAACTGAAATTGTGAGTACCTGTGTTTTTGGCCATACCGATATCTGAACTCCTAACTAGAGTGGCTGTCTAACTCTACAGTGCTACATCAGTTCTTACAGTCATACGCCATAATGACAATAGTCAGCGACCTGACATCAGTCTTAGCATTGTAACAGAATGATGTAAGCCGCCTAAACAGCGACTTCTATGTCTGTAAAAATGCATTTATATACATTTTTAATAACCACACCACCCAAACAGCAAGTGATTTTCATGAACAGAAGTGAAAAATACTACCAAGAACAATTAAACAACTCAGCATTTCACGGCTACCGAAACAGTATCACAGATAAACCCAATAATTTTTAAGTATAATGCAGGGATAATGAAGAAGTAATCACTAAGACCAGTAACTTCAACAACGTGGCCCAGGTGGCCCTAGACTGAAACATGACCCAGGCTGGTTTTAATACTCCAGGCTCTGCAGCCACAGGGCTTCAGGAGCAGGGCAGGCTCTGCCTGTCAGGGAGGGTGCTGCAGAGAGGTGCTCCCTGCACCTGAACTCCAAGCCACTCTGAACTGAGCACCAAACCCTGCCACCAGACTGATTTGGAAACAAACAGCAGAGATCAACCCAAAAATTTCTGAGTGTAGCCATCCATCCTGCACCGCCTCTGCTTTCACTATGGCCTGCAGCTTCTAGTGACACTGCTCCCACTGCAAACTGCGGCCTGCTTACAACTGAAACAGCGTGAGTGTGCGCCTCATACCTTAACGTGGTACCTTACAGACACCTGGGCTCCACAATTTCTTCACCACGTATTTCATCTGTCCTCCTTCATGCTGCATCTGCTCTGAAGAGTACTCTACTGTTCACATGCCTCTCCCTCATCAGCGTGCACAAAAAGCCATGCCAATACAGCCATACAACCTGCAGGTTCTGAAATCTGCACATTTTATTGTACTTCCTTCCCTTTGAAACAGGGCTCAGTGCCTGTCTAATAAATGCCAATGCAAGGACACGTTTCACATGCTTTACTTGTCTTTGGCAACATGCAGAACCTGCTTCTCTCCAGCTTTCAAGCTTGATCTTCACTTTGCCCCAGCTATTATTACCAAGTAGATTTCTGCTATTTTGAATAAAACTAGCTCAGTTATTTTCCAACAGAGGCTGCATAACAAGTAGCAGTACCTGGTAATGCTCACTTCAGTAACGGCATACATAAAATGTCAACTTTCAGGTGTAGTAACCCAGTGTTATCACATACCTTTATCAATCTCTTGTTCAGAGTTCTTGTCACTACGGAATATTTACAAAAATCAGTGACAAAGCTGCACAGCAATACCCACCCAAAAAGCATTCAAAGCACAATATACAGCATGGAGACTGTAAGATTTCCAACTAAAATTACGTTATTTGTGAGATTTTAAATTACTCAGAATAGCATAACTTAAAAGTTGGCTTCTCTCAAGAACAGGCATAGCTTCAGGAGATGCAAGGATACAATAAATTTTTTATCTAAATATGATTCTTTTAAAATGCTTATGAGTATTTTGCAGTATGAGCACAAATAGGTATCAAGGGCATATAATATAGAGGAAAAACTACTTCAGCTATTTTTTAATTTAAATGCAACATTTTTTCTAAATGCTTCAAATGAATTCTATTTTAAGATACACAAACTCCTCACTGCTTAATAACCAGACTCTTGTTCTAGCCCAAAACTTGTTCTTTGAACACCATGCACTTTTAACAGATGTCTTCTCTTTCTTTGTTCTTGTGATTCTTTTTTAATATAAGAGATTCTAGTCCTCCCAAATGTTCACATTACCAATGTGTAAAATTGTACAAAATTAATTACTGCATGCCCCCCAGAAACAACACAGTAGCAGATCATACTGAAATTCTGCAAGTTTCTGGGGACCTTGGGAAATTAAACTCACATTCACTGCTGTAAATGCTAAGACCCAGCTATATTACAAGCATATTTGATAAAAAATTTAAACAAAACGCTTCATCAGCATAGATTACTGGAAGAATATTATACTTTAAAGCCAAATTTTAGACTTTCTGATGATCATTTAAATACTCTTTCATGCACTCAGGCCTGGGCTCATACTGTTCTCCCTTGAAGCAATGTTCATGCCTACGCAGTTCTGATGAACTTTTCATGCAGACGGGGAGGGGGGGAATTATTTGCACTTTTTTCTTTTAAATGAGTACGGAAAAACCTGGAAGCAGTAACTTAGAATAAGATTAGCTCCTGTTTTCCCAGACTAGTTACTTTCCACCGTTAATAATCCTGCCCTATTTACGTTTCAGAATACCCAAAATAATTAAGCTGTGTTGAGCTTGCCAATTTAGAGAGGCATTTGAGAGTAATATGCATGTTAATCAGGACCATTAGCTGCTAGACTATATGAATTCTACTTCTCATTACTCAATTTTTATTATTGTTATTTAGAAAGGGTTTTCAGTTTTGGGAAAAAAACCCTCTCTCCACCCCTCCAAACAGAGATTAATCTCTGAGAATACTTATTCTGAGCTATAATACCCATTCGTTTTAGGGATGAGATGACACCTTCCATATTCACCAGTTATTAAACAGCTTCTTGCTATCAGGGAACCAATAAAGATGCAGCACATCATAATTTCAATTGCCTAGCAACAACTCTTCTAACACGTTCTGACAAGTGGTTGGAGCCTTTTCTAGTATGAAAGAGTTACTGGAGCACAAGGACTGTCAGAGATGAGAATCAACTCTTCTTAATGGCTACGTCTGCTTTTCTTACCATCAGAAGAATTTCCATACAAGTAAAATCCTCATTTCTACTTGTAGGAAATTTAAATGATGCATACAATGTATTCTGAATCCTTCCCCACTATAGGCTCAGTCCATCAAGGTGCAAAGTGAAGAAAGACAACACATGCAGCTTTAGTCACGCCAGACCTACCACAATACAGCAAACTTGAGTTGACATATACCAGACTTAAGACTGTAAGAAGATTTCCTCACCTGAGATCAACAGATTTCTTGAGCCAAGCCTCTTTTACTCTATAGATTTTACTAGTGAAAACTCTGGGCTATGAAAACAAGCGTTAAAGCACTGTGTAGACCTTAAAATACATACATATGCTCATCCAGTGCATTCTCACCCCATGAAATGAAGGTTAGCAATGAATGTAGTGAAAGAGACACCAAGTTCTCTGTCTCAAACTTCATTATCGGGGATTTATTAAATCTATTGGCAAAAGCAACCACTCAAATTTTATTAAAGATTATATGTTATTTTTCTCTTTAAAATACCTTTTCTCAACTTCATGGTATTTCACAAGGTAGACACTTAGTTCAGAAAAAGAATTTCAAATAATTCTGTTTCATTATCAAAAAGGTACCAGAAGTTTAGATATATGAATACTATTTATCATGCAGTATATTTTGGACAGCCTTTCCATTCTGAAGGTCAATAACCCAGCATTTTATCAGCAAGGCTGGTGTTTTAATTTAGATAGTAAATTGTGGCATAGTCCACTAAACTCTGATTTCTCAAAATGCATGTGCAGTTTTATTATTCAGTTTGTTAATACATCAAATCTTATTTAGAGAGTCACTCTGTTTGTATGTCTCGTAGGTATATGCATACCAACACATGCTCGTACACCTGCTGCTTCTTTTCACTGTACAATCAGTACTATTTACATACACCATAATTCAAAGAATTAGATGAACACAGCTTAATTACAAACCAGTTTTAAAAATACACGTGGCACATTAAAACCTTATTCTCTTCTGCTAAACTCAACTTTTCTCAACAATGTACAGAGGTCATACTTTGTAAAAAGAAAATTTAAAAGTCACCTTTCAAAAGCTGATTCAGGTCCACGGCATCATGCAAGACTTTTTGACTATATCTGCGATCAAACTCGGAATCTAATGAAAAAAATACACATATAAGATTGGATTTCCCAGCCCCACAGGTTTTACAAATTTTGTGTTGTACTTAAATTCTTCAAAATTACCATATAATTCTTGGTTCACGTTTCCCTGTCTTTTTATTTTTAGTTTCTTATCATTTGATGCTGCAAGTTCAAAAGACTGGATAGGACTGATGTCTGGAGTTGACAGAGGTGTTACATCAGTCACTGTGTCTTCAGACTCCTCCAGGTAGTCACCAAGCTTTGGTTTTCCTTCTGCTAATTTCATTGCTGACTTGAATCTTTGTTTTGGAGACAGAAGAGTGCTCCTACACGCATTCCTCTTTGAGGGAGAATGAGATGAATCTGATAAACAGCTATCGGAATCTGTATCAGAACAATCTGTATCTGAGCTTGAGGATGAGGACGTGGAGGAAGAGGAGGAGGAGGAAGAGGAGGAGGAACTGATATTGGTATATTTTTTGCTAGCCTTTTTTATGTTGTTTGACTGCTTAGCTGACTTTGGTCTAACCTTCTGGTTTTCGCCATCATCACTACTATCTTCTTCATCTGTATAATAATCTTCTTCACCTTCTTTAACTATTTTGGGGATTCCAGCAGGAACATTCTCCTGTGTTCCCTTATTTACTACAGACGTCACTCCAGATGTACCTGCATTCTCTGCAGCTGGAGAAAGTGATAAAGATGAAGCATCTCCAGGACGAGCTGTGCTGTTTTCTAGGGACTGATCCTTCTGCAAATCCTTCTGCTTTTCTTCACTTTCCTCCTCACAACACTTTGCATCCTTTGAATTAGAAATCAAATCAGGGTCTGCAAGAGCTGCATTTGTACTTCCTTTCTCTATACATTCATCATTTTCTTCAGCTTTATTTTTCTCTTCCTCAAAATCACTGTCAAAGAAAGCATGATCCACTTCACCACCTGACACATCTTCAAACTGTTCCATACTGAAATATGAAGTGTCACCTGCAACCATCAGAAAACATTTCCAAAGGTTAGCATGAAAACAGATCCAAGTACACTTTTAGTATAATAGTTGTGCTCTTTTAGCTCTAGTTATTTATAATTCTGCAGTTAATTATGTTATGTTGCTAGGGTCAACTCCATAGCAAGTTCTATAAAGAAATTTTTTGCCACCTTATTGTACACAGCTTCTATGTTAGACCGAAAGGCTTTACTTTAAGCCAACAAAAACCATCACAATTTCAAAATTTTTACTCCTAAGGAAATTAGTCAAACAGTGTTAGCAGCTAGAGAGTCTTAACTATTACAAACAAGCAATTTAAGTGTCTTACTTTGTCCCTTTAAGCTAGAGTCTCTAATGAGCAATCATTAGTTTGGGTGTTATACTGAAAACCTTGTTTGTATGTGGTGGCCATCATCTGGGCTGACACAGCCATTCAAACTGCAGACTTCCAGCACTTAAAGAAGGAGCAATTCCAATTTACATCAAAAGATCCATAGCTCCATAGGTTAAATTGTAATAGATGTGGGGTGTATCACTCTTAATGTTTCAGTTTGGATCAGGAGCCTGCTTTTCTTGACAGACCTCTGCAACTCACACTGCATAGCACAGCTAGCAAACCCGATTCTTTCAGATGAAACTAACCTTTACAGTGTGCTCCAGGCACAAAACTAGTGCACTTAAACCAGCTGCAGTCACCATTCAGTCCATGGGACCAGATTATGGCTAGGCCAAAGGAAAAACTCCAAATACGTATAGTGTGGATATCAGGTCCTCAGTGCTAACCGTTGTGCTCTACAAACCTGCTCCTATTGTGTCACAGTTTTTGCAGAAATATATGGTGTTAGATCCTACGCATGTAGCATGGGGGATATGAAAGTTTCCACTCCTTAGCAGGATGTACACAGAATTAAAATGAAAAAACCCCAAACACCTCACAACCAAACAAAATTAGCCAGTATCAGAGACTACTGTTCCCATCTAGCCAGCAGTACTTTTCTCCTACTATTTACAAGATTTTATAGACATTTTGTAAGCTGCAATCAAGAAATACGTAACATTCTTTAGAGCCAAGGAAGCAACTCTACAGGCAGAAGAATTGGAGTGTTTTACAAAATGGATGGTCTCCCTTAACCACATACAGTTTGTTGCCATGGCAAACAAAGGTGAAAAAGGAATTCCTAAGCTTGCTTTGAAACAGCAAGACTATTCCCAAGAAAGCTTCTAGCTAAAATTACTTCAAAATATGGAATTTTTAAAAGTCTGTCACTCAGTTATCTTGCTGCTTGTCAAATACTACTCGATTTTAGAGGAATTTGAAACACACACCCCCAATACAAAAAGCACAACATAAACCTTAAAAGGCATGGAATCTCATGCGGTTTTAAGATTCACAAAGTCAAAGAACTGAAAAGACTCTTAATAAGGTTAGATTAGTATGAAGCTGAAAACACTATTAAACAATAGAACCATAGGATAGTTTGGGTTGGAAGGGACCTTATAGATCATCTAGTTCCAACCCCCCTGCCATGGGCAGGGACA